AATAAACTTATCTCATGGAGCTATTTAATTGTAAATCCAATCTATTTAATATAAGTAGTTCATTAACATATGCTTGTGCTCAAAGACATACAACCACATGGGCTTATCAGATCTTCTAAACTAAAAAAAATTGGACAAAAATAAATTTATCTACAAAATTTAAAAATACTATGTTGTTCTTTAATATAATGAATGATTGTGTATTAATGTATCAAGTAATGTGTCATGCTAATAGAACAGCTCTGCAAATCACTACAGGTAACACTGTAGCATTTTATTCCATATTTTGGAGTGCATTTTTCCAAAATGACTCAGCATGACTATCTATTACCACTTCTCCTTTAAAGAAGGAAAAAACCCCTCAGAATTTTAAAAATATTTGTTCAATGACACTATTTAATAAGGATGTAGGTTTTTAAATAGTGCCTTAATGTTCTAAACTAAAAATGCCTATATAGTTGAACAGTACATTTGGAATATCTGATGCATCAATGTGTAGGGATGACTTAACAGATGAGTTTGAAGAGTCTCACTGAAGAGACTCTTCAATGATATTCCAAAAGTACAGTATAATCGACTCTATTGTTATTGGTAATTCTGCATTCTCATACATAAATCATTTATTTTCTTGTATCCAATAGCATACATTTTAAACCAAAACTAATTAACGTAATCAAAAGGCAAATGTATTGGACAAATAGGCTGAGAAGTAATAAATGCTTGTCATATCCATTTATAAATCTACTTGTAAAAGTTTTGTGACTTCCAATGGAAATATCTTCAGCATAAATGTGCGCTATGCTGCATGCTTGAAACAAAAGTCTTCTGCCTTATTACAATATCATTATTAGGATCTCATATAACTTCCATTCAAATCTATTGCATTAAAATGACAAAGTTGTGTTCAACTTTGCTAAAGAAGATATCACATTTAAGAAAAGAACCTTCCTTCCTTCCTTTGATTAAAGCACAACAGAGAATAGGATATTTTGAATTCATATCAGAATGGCAGCTTAAAATGTACAAAATTCACAGATGAGTTGAAGTAGAAACCGATGAAAGAACTAGCTTAAAAACGACATGCCTTTTTAAAAACTGTGATGATATAAATGAGGCTATTCCTTGTATTATCTCCAAAGAATATTAAACGTTTTTGGACATGTTAACATAACTGTATTTGTTAATAAGGTAAGAATAAAGTGAGTGATTCACATTAAAGTAGCTTCAAAACTACAAAAAAAAAAAAAGTCATCTGAAATTAATGTATTGAGCCAGAGCAGAATTATGTTCCCCTTGATTTTCTAGGTCTAGAAACACTGGGTCCTGAAGCATGACCAATGTGGTTCTAGCATCTCCTGTTCTTTGCTATGTCACCTCATGAAGCATTAACTCAGATCTTCCATGTACTTTAAAATGCAATTTGAAGACTAGAGAAGAAGTTAATTTCTCCATACACAAATTAACATGTTCTGTTAAGCATAAAATAGCAATAAGTATTAAATGTGGTAGCAATCTAATATCTAGTATCTCATAAGTTAATGAAAATATTAATTTGTATTGGTAGCAAATTACAATGTATTCTAGACATCCATGCATTCATTTAAAGTTTAGGTAAGGGAAGTACCAAAGTTATTGTACTGAATAGATGCAACATTAAATACTTTATCAAGAATGTCCAAATACCTCATGTGAATCCTTCAGAGATTTATCAGTGAATATCATTATTAGAAATAATGGACATTTTGACATTTAATATATTGCTTCACTAACCTTAAGAGGCAAAGTTAAAATGATAAGAATGTTGAAATAACTAAATGGAACTTCATTATAAGTCCTCTATTTAAGCCAAATAGAGAAGGTGATTTACAAAATGATAGATACAGTTTGTGGATCACAGAATGAATTCCCTTTTGTATGATAACACCACTTAAGAGAAGTTTTGCTTTTCTTGATTCTTTTCTCTAAAACAGACATTCTGGCATTTAGGAGATAAAAACGTATGATTTGACCTTTAAACTTCTGTTTCATTAACGTAACCACAAGCAACAGAGTCACTGACTGACACGTTTGCACTTTCAGGCCTTTAGCACTTAGTTATTTGATAACTTTTATGCCATTATTTGCTTTTTATTAGAGATACTTTGAGGAATGTGTTACATTAAAAATAGAGTATACTGTGTAAAGCTTAATAAATGAACTCATGTAATTCAGTAAAGTGTTCTCTTGAGTACTAGATTTCTGTACTTTGACGTGAGGGTGTGTATCTATTAGGGAAGATTTTGTTTTGTTTGTTTTGTGTTCTAATGAATTAGATAATTAGATCAAATACAATTCCAAGTATCCAAAGTGAAAACATAAACTATAACTCTGTGTCATTACTTTTGATGAAAAGTGTGTCACCTGACTTACACTCAATTAGTCCTTAAGCTCTTCTGTACTGGTCTATGAACACAGCAAATACCAGTTGCAGATGAGTCAAGAAAAATAACTGACATAATTTAACATTTTTTTTAAGAGAAAGAGGATTTCTTATAAATATACATGTTAAAAGTGTTTAAAACCTGTGGGCAATGTAAAAAGATAAAAAATAGGATACTCCCTAGAGAATTCTAGAATTACTGTAAGCAAATTACTCTGAGTAAAAAGTAATGCAGATTGGATTTGTTTCATATGACAAAAAAAAAGATTCTGTTTATTTTAAAAAACATTGTAATTGGTTAGAAACATTATTCAGAAGAGACAGAGGTTGTAGTCTCTTTTAAAAGTTTAAAAGTCAAAAGTTCCCTAAACTAAGATATGACAAAACTCAGGATATGGCATATAAATGGATGAGGTACAGTGCACACAAGTAAATGAGGACTGCACCAAAACAACAAACCAGGAAGGATATTGGTGTCACTAGTTAGAGAAGCTTCACTATTGGAAGCAATGACTGAACTAAATATAGGTCTCCTAGAGGCAGAACATGGGTTCAGTTATTTTAATAGAAACAAAACATCTAAGATATACCATTAAAAGACAAGCAGTCTATCAAATCCTTTAGATTGAAAGTGTTAATGCTCATTACAAATAGGCAATATGCTGCTACAAACATATAGATTGCAGCTCCAATAAGTGTTTGCTACCTCTAAAGATAGCACTTCATCCTTACTGTTGTTTAAACTTCCAAAACAAACTTAATATAAAGAACATAAATAAGGATTTAATTTATATCCTGTGTGTGACCAAAAGTTCATCTCTTTTACCAACAATGAAAGGTATTTTACTAAGTTATAACAAATCATTTGTTACTTTTGTATACATCCAGTGGCATTTTGCATTTACAGTAGATATAGCATATATTATAAAAGCACATTATTAATGTATATTAGAAACTACAATAGTATTCCAGATGAATTTGGACTCATAAGCATATTTTAGAAGGTGTAAATCATTTACCACACCCAGATCCCAGATCATTAAATTTAAAATATATTGCATGACTCAAATAAAACATAGCCCACTCTGTTTCACCTTAGACATGCCACACATACTGACTTTGTGCAATCTGCACTTACAAGCCAACTACCACCCAGTGGAGAGAAAGAAGATCTTTCAGGGAGATTTGAGATATATGTCAGGTGGAAGTGTCATGGGGTGAAGGGAGGGCAATGGGAAATGAAGGAATAAGGGCATTTAGCCTTGTTTAGATCTAAGCACCGCTGATTATCAATTTATATTTTCACAGGAGAAAAACTGTTTCTAGAAGCTTATCTGCAGTGTTGTTTAAAGATAAAATTAGTCTATGGATGTTCATTAATGACAAAACATTTTGATGCTCAGGCTTGGGGAAAAGAAGGGAAGAAGGGAGAGTGAGCAAAAGCAAAACTTAAAATGGGAAAAGGGAGGAAAAGGGAAAGATGAGGGGATAGAGAGAGGAAAGAGAGAGACTGTGTGTACACATGTGTGAGTGACAATGTGTGGAACAGTGAAGTAGCGTGTGCCTTTTAGACAGTAGAAGAGAATCTGAATGTGAAAGTGGTTGTTAGGGAGAGTATGGAAGTGCCAGCATGTGTGAGAATGTGAAACAGAGTATGTGAGGGAGTGTGGTTAAGAAAGAGAGATTTGTGAGGGTGAGAAAATGGTACTGAGAGGGGTTAGAGGGAACATACGTGTGTCTGACAGGGATGGGAACCGATATGGGGAAAGAGATGGGAAATGTGAGTCAAAAAGAGAGAGAGAGACAGAGGGAGACAGAGAGAGACAGAGACAGAGAAACAGAGAGACAGAGAGAGAGAGAGAGATCACAGAACAGGGATATTAATGAAGAAGAAAAATGGGGAATGGAGAAAGGTAAAGAGTGGAGAAAAGTGGGTTAAATAAGAGGTGAGAAATTAGAGTGGTGGAGATAAAAAAGAAAATATGAGGAGAAAAAAGGGAGGAAAAATAAAAAGGAATGAAAAGAGGCAAAGGAAGAAGGGGGGGAGATGGAAAAAAAAGAAAACGAAGGGATAAAAAGAAAAGGGAGAAAGCGGTAAGAGGAAAGAAAGAAAACTGAAAAGGGAGAAATTGAGCCTAAGTGTCCAAGTGAGAGGGAAAATACATAGGAGCAGGGAGCCAGCCATCAGTTTGAAAAAGTCGCTTAGGCTGCAGTAAAATAGAAACAACCTGATAAACTTGTCAGACTCTCCAAGAGTACCCCATGACAATAAAACAGAGACCTTGTGAATTTAGTTTCCAAGTGGCACCTGCCCCTCTTAAACCTCACACTTCACTCATCCGTGGGCTACCTGTCGTTCCGGCAAAGTGCTTTTGCATCACCAGTCCGGCTTGCTACCTGCCCCGGGGTAAAGTGGCCATGGATCCACGCAGAATCAGCAACTGAATTTCCTGAAATGTAGTCTTTTGATAGTGATCACCACCAGCATCATTACTTGGTTTAAAAAGAAGGCAAGAAAGGTGGAAAGAGAGACAGAAAGACAGACTGAGACAAGTACGAAAAAGCACGACGTTCTTCCTACCTAAGCACCGCCGTGTCCCCTTTTCTGACCATCATGTTGTCCACAGCAGCCCAGGGGAAGTCCACACTCTGTCCAGCCGGAAGGCAGGAGGGTAGCAGGCAGCACAGGCTGAGGAGCACCGCCGCCAGCCACTGGTTCGAGCAACAAGCACCCTGCACCAACAGCATCATGTCCATCCCTGCTAGGGCTGCTCACTCTCCAGCAGCTTTCAGCTCGCACTCCCCCACCCCCTGGTGCTGGCTAGTCTTCCCGGGAACCAGGCAGCGCGCCACAGGATGTTTTTTTCTTTCTATTTTTTTTTTTTTTTTTAATTTGGGGGGGGGGGGGGGTTTTTTTTTTTTTTTCCCCCCCCCCCCCCCCT